GGCAAGATGGCTTATATCGACGATGGGCTTGCCGCTGTCCGGCTCATGTGCTCGCAGTTCATCTTCAACCTCCAAGGCTTGCGACATGATGTCTTTGCTTTCGAGGACTCACAGCACGCTGTCTACCTCTCATCTGACAAGGAACGCCTCTTCACCGGAGATAACCACAACAAGTTGAACCTCAGGTGGATGCTCCACGCGATGAACTTCTTCCGTCACCACATGATGAATGAAGATGCCCAAACATTGTTCGACAGGATCGATGAGCTAGACGTTACCCAGAAGCCTTCGGCATGGAGAGAGCAACTCACCGACGGAGCCAAGCCTCTGAGCAGGTACTGGAAGGGTACCTACTCCTTCCTCGAGAACATCGAGGTTCAGAAGCTGCGAAAGCAGGGACCAGGCAGACAGGTCTTCATTGACAAGAACGTGGACGAGGGCAAGATCCAGGTAGATTTTCAACTGGGAATGGCCTTTACAAACCCTACTGATCACATGCAGTCTCTCGAGCTTGCTTTCGCAGAAGACAGTCGCCTACCCGATGGTCGCGAACTCCCATGGCCACCCGTCTTCGAAGACCGCCTCCGCTCGCTTGGGAAGGACGCTAGAAAGCAGCAAGGCATCAAGACTCAGGGTCGAAACACAGCCACCAAGACAACTACAGGCGGTAGCATTCAGTTTGAGGGCAAGGGCGAAGACCTCGATGACGAATACAAGGCCCTTGGCTGGCTCAACCCGCTGCCTCCTCAAGGCGGTGTCCCTGGCTGGCAGCGCATCACCTTCATGAAGCACTTCACTGAGGACTACGACCACCCCAACGAGGACAATCTCTGGGCGTATGAGGGCGTTGTCTTGCCTGGTGGTCGCATTATCCTAGGCCGCTGGTGGTTTGCATCAGAGCCAGGTCGCAACGATGTAAGTACCACCTGCCCATGACATCTCATTCCTGCTTTCGATGGACATGTACTAACAAACGCTAGATGGAGTACAACGGCCCCTTCATCCTCTGGGCGGTCGACGAACCCGACTTTGACGAAGATATCAGCGATGATGAGGCTGTTTGAGAAACGGAATCACATGGTGTCGGCGGCAACCCGGTTTTGGACCCTCGTTCCACAACACATATCCCCTTTGTATATCTTTTGGTCATCTACCTTATCTCCCCTGCACATTCTCTGGCGTTCGACTATATTCACATACCTCTGGTGGCGGAGTCTTCAAGGCCTGGATGCCTGGACATTTCCCTTTGCTTATCTTAGTTTGGCATCACATATCACATAGCCTCTTCATCTTGGCATTTGGGAGCGTTGGAGTAGGACGGATGTCCTGAATCAAAAGTCTTGTTCAATGGTCGTGTGCAAGAGTTCGTCCTTATGCTATCGATTCTGTGAATCTACCAACTCAAAAGCGAACATGTCGTAGCTGAGCTCAGTCTTCGGTAAAGATACATCACGAAGTCTCAAACAAAAACCTGCAAACCAGAACACATGTACAAAGAGATCGTTTTCCATTTCATATCTATCTTCATTTCGTAAAGTCATGTCGTGAATCATTCATGTGTGAGCCAGAAGACTCGATTGTCGCATCAACCCAAAAAACACTTCTTCTCTTTCCTTCCGAACCCAAGAAGTTGCCTCCATCCATCATCAATCATCAGAGTCGCGAAAACAAAAGAATGGAGCTGCTCAAAAAGAAGAACAATAACATTCATCTCCTCGCTTAACCAAGCTTTCTGAAAGACAGAATAAAAAAAAGGTATGTAACAATACTTCTATCGTCCACCGCAGTACAAGAGTAACCAAGTCGGCCGTGTCGTGAATAACCATCGTGAGTAAACCAAAGAAAAAAGAAGCTCTAGTACCTCGCACCCATGGGAGGGGGCGGGACCGAGCTACCGTAGGGATTCGCATCGGCATAGGACGTAGGGTAGGATTGGTTGGCAGCTACAGGATATGCGTACGGATTAGCGGCTGCACCATTCATGTTGCCACCGAGGGCGTTCATCCGGGCTTCCTTTTCGCGGCGTTCACGGAGCTTTCTCCTCTTGCGGCGGCGCGTCTCGAGTTCCTTGACGCTGTGGCGTTGCTCGTTCATCTCTTTCCATTCCGAGTAGGCGGATTTGATACCTAGGGCGGCGATGCCCACGGCGGCGGCGTCCTGGAGCATGTTCTTGGACTTGCGTTTGCGCGCTTCTTCGGCCGTCATTTCGCCCTCGCCAACGAGCTTGCGGCGGTTCTCCGAGGCAACCATGGAAGAGTAGACTCCGTGGGCGGCGTGGATGGTGGCCACAGTGGCTAGACCCGCAGTGAGGAGTTCCTTACCTCGTAGCTTCTTGCGCTTCTCCTCCATGTCGGTGGACGACTCAGAATCCGCGCTAGAATCCCGTCGACCCCGATCCATTCCTCCATTCTGTGCTGTTAGAGCACCCGCTCCTGCCCCACCGGCGGCGGCTAGTCTGCGATCTGGGTTAGTCCTGGAAGGGGCTTCGGAATACTGGTCGTCCATACCGCGGCCTCGGCTGTACGAGCGGCGGTTGCCCCTACGTGATGGCACGTAGCTGTCCGAGCTGGAAGAGCGGGATCGGTCCTTTCGAGCACGAGACTTGGAGCGCACACGGTCGTATAGAGCCTTGCCTGCTGCGAGCACAGCACCGGTACCAGCTACCTTGGCGATACCGTTGTTTCCTCCTCTGTCGCTGGAGTTGGAGCGGGAGCGGCCACGAGAGCGAGAGCGTCCGAAGATGGACCTAGACCTGGACCTGGCACGAGAACGGGAGCGAGACCTGGAGTCGTCACGGCCACGAGGAGCACGGGAGCGCGAGCGAGAGCCGTTGGCTAGGCGAGAAGCGACAAGACCACCGAGTGCAGACTCGGCGACGTGCCTCTTCTCGTGCTTGCCGGGATCTCTGTCGATGAGACCGTCGATACCGGCAGCACCAAGAGCGGCAGTTGCAACACGTTGGCCCTTGGCACCGGTCCATGGACCGGCTTCCTTGCGGCTGCGGAAGGCTTCGACGGCACCGGCGACGATAGCGGCTTTGGCGGCTTGCTCCCACTTCTCAGACTTGTGTCCACCCCGGCTGCGGCTGCGCGAACGTGATCCGTAACGGCTGCTCCGGCGGTCGCGCTCGTCGTAGTATCCGTATCTGTCGCTATCATAACCACGGTCGTCTCGACGAGGGCGGGAGCGCGATCGGTCACGACCGCCGCCAGTGACGGCGCCGATGATGCCGCCTAGGCCTGCTGACTCGCCGAAGTCCTTGACTTTGTCGACGATGGACTTGCGGCGCTGCATGTTGGGGCGCTCGGAGTACTCGGAACGGTCATCGTAGTCGCGGTCACGTCGGCGGGGACGGTCATAGTAGTCGTCGTCGTAGCCACGGTTCACTGAGCGGGTGCGGCGGGGCGGCGCATACTCCTCGCGGTACTTGGTCTGCCTATACTCGGCACCGGGAGGGAAGTCGCGGGGAATTTCTTCGATGCTGTCCTCGCGCGCTGCGGGGCGGTAGACGAGATCTCGTGCCCCGCCTCCACGGCCGCCGCGCTCAATGTACGTCGTCTCGGTGACGTACTCGGGCTCCCGCGTACGGTGCCGCGGTGCGTAGCTGTACTCAGACATAGTGATGGTGGTGGTGGTGCTCTATACCGCCGTGGGCGATTGTGGCTCTAGGGGTCCGGCAGCAGGAAGGGTCGTATCCAGTCCGGTATTCTGCGCAGGGCTGGGTTAGCGGGCGCGCGAGGGGAAAAAGAGAGCGGCGGCGTGCAAACATACCGAGTGGTCGCTTTGGTCAGATAGAGTTTACTTGGCTGCTAGCGCAAGTGAGAGGCTGGTGGGCTGTCGCAACGAAGAATAAGGTGCCTGCGAAGTGACGGGACAAAGTGGGTAGGGGAATGGGGTGTCGAGCGGCGCAGGGCACAGGCAGGCAGTGGTATTTAACAGGTTGTCGACTCGGGAGGGCCAGGGCTGATGACTGTCCGTTTGGCTTGGGTCCCAAGGATCTATCTCGGTGCAGGTGGGGTGGCGTAGATATTACCGTTTGCTTGAGGCTGGGGTGGGCAGCCGTCTTGAGGGCACAGAGCGTGCGAGTGATGTCATTGCCGCCAGCCGGGCAGCCAAGCCCAATTCTTCTGCCACCACCTGCTGCGCCCAACGAGAAGCGCCTGTCCAACCCGGCTAGGTCTCATGATTTGCGCAGCTTTTCTGACCGGCATCCCTCACCGACGCACCCTTTGGGGGTCTTTTCGCTGCGAACATGTTCAACGTGCTGCTCGACATAGCCCCTCTCCGGCCGCCTCCGGAACCTGACCGGTGCCTCACTTCTGTCCATCTTACGTTGCGACGCCCCCAACGACAGCTGCCGTGAGGTAATGCTTATTCTGCCCATCTGCATGGCGGCGTCTTTCAACTCCACATGTCTCGCTGCGTCTCAGTCGTTCTTCCAAGTTTCGGTGCTGCACCTGGCCAGCTCGGCAGCACTCAGGCTCGATGACGAAGCCCGGTGCCATTGCGTGTAGGGGTGCTATGTACAGAACGCCACGTGAGTCGGCTGTCATTGGCCGGCACCCGTGGCAGGCACATGGAACTCCAGCGAACATGCGAGGATACACCTGTCAATCCGTGGGCTGACACCTAAACATTGGCCCGAACTACGGAAAAACCGGGTACTACCTGTCAGTTGTCAAAAGATGCCCAACTACATACTTTTCTTCCTTGAATTTTATCACGTAAATGACGATATATCTTCATGATGTGCCATTTTTAGTTGCTGCGATCTGCCTAGGTGGGACGAGTTTCTTGACATCGTACTAGCTGCATTGTTTCACGCAAGTGCGACGACCTTTCCAATCCTCTTCTCGATATTTGAAACGCCCATCTCTGCATCATCGCTGGACATAGAGTAAATTGTACATGCGTCGTTCGTCGCAGGTCAAACCTGTTATTGCATCCAAGAGATGTCACCAGTCTCAGCTTCCAACGATTGCTAGCTCACGTCCTGCTCTCTATCTCTGCCTCTTGCGCTGATGACCTGAGATGTACTCACCTTGATCGTTCGAGCCCTCGTCCTTGTCACTGCGCTGCCTCTTGTTTCCTACAGTCATCGAGGCTGTCATCTTTCCCATCTCTCGCTCCAAGTCTTTCGAAAACTCTTGCAACGCAGGTACGATACCGAAGCACGCCCTGCTGCTCTCAGCCACGAGCGTCCACTTCTTCGTTCCGGGCTCGCTGAGTGTAACCGCGCGGATCATGATGAACTCGTCTGCTCTATCGTTGCGGCGGCCTAAGGCGGCAGCAGCGGGGATGGAAGAGGAGCGGTCAAATACGTGGCGGCAGATGAGGATGGAGAAGCCATTGTTGTTGGGGTAGGCTGGTTGGTACATGTCGATGATGTATTCTGTTGCGCAATCAGTATTGCAGAGTCTGCTACAGCGCCTTCCGGCAGCGGAAAAGTGGGAAGTGACATACCAAGGACGCTCTGCTTGAGCTCGCGCTGCAGTTGCAGGTCTTCGAGACGGCTCATCTCTTGCATCGCCCTGTGGTTGGCCATGAGTACGATTTGTTGTCGATGTGGGATGAAAGGTTTGGGAATCAAAGGTGAGGGAAAGCAGTGGTACGTAGGCGCCGGGAAAGCGCCAGTGTGTTGGAGTGGAAAGCGCAAGTGTGCCACGTGATGGGAAGCCGTCTTCACCTCCTGCTTGTGTTATGGTGAGTAAAACGAGTACTGTAGACGATCTTCTCGTAATGCGCGACAGTGGTATCATATAGCAACGTAGATGACAGTTGGTAATCAGCACAACACGTGCTGAGGCCTTGACTTTGACCCTTTGACTCAAATTTCACCTGGGCAAGGTTGTTTACAATGCACTATGCCCTGAGATCCCTCTTTGATGGTTGGTTTACACATGTGAGCCCAATAAGGCCCCAAGGAAGTATCCGCCCAGCGAAGCAGCATGTAGCGCTCCGATGCGACCTTCACGTTTCTCAGCAACATCTGCTCTTCTATACTGCATGATCTGGTGCACGTTTGGCTCAAAATCACCGTCCCGTTCGTCTTGACCTCCTTAGAATCAGTCGCCAACTCGAATTTAGCCTTTGTACTTTCATCAAACCGCACGCCGCAAGAGAAACTGCAGACTTGTTACCATCACTAGTTGCAGTAGCTTTTGATCATGCCGCTTACCAAACAAACCCTCCGCTGGGATAAGAGTTGGCTCCTACAGAGTCACACAGAGGCATAGGGCAAGGCTTGTCGCTTCTTGCGTCTATAAGCAGGACCATAACGACAGCTGTACCAGGTACAAGCTGGGAAGTCGCTGTAATCGTTGCTGTTCTCATGTTTGCTTTGCAGTATTCGTAGTTGCCTAGGGCGACATCATCAGAGCTAGTACTAGTTTTGAATCTTTGCTGGACAATGGTGTCTAGCATGTCGTAGTCGAACTCAGATGGGACAGGAAACTTGCGACCAAAGACATCTTCAATGACGAAAGGGTCTTGGAAGAAAGCCCAACCAGTCTCCACTGCTCTCCTTGAATCCCGTATTTCGAGAACAACGGCGTAGATTTGCTGGGTGGAGGCACTACATGGTGGTTGGTTAGTTGACAGCTCCATTAGTGTACATGAAGGGAACAGACATACAAGACTTTGTTCACCAATTGCCCGAAGTCCTCCAGGAATGATTTGACCTCGCCGAAAATGAACTGATGCAGCCCAGTGACGAGTGTCTGAATGTTATTCGCGATAGCTCCCTGGCTAGATAAATTATCGCCAATGTCCGTGAGAGTATCTTCTGTATCACGGATTCGCTCAGCGATCTGTGTACAGACTGCATCAGTATTCTTCCTCATATCTTGAACCTGACCGGCGACATGCCGTATTAAGTGCATGTTGATGACACTGCCGTAGAACTGGAGGTTTCTCTGAAGTTGCACAACTTCCTCTTTCCGGCAGAACGTCCAGCCGAGCTTGTCCATGGTACCTCTCAGAGCGTTGGATCGGCTTGCGGGGCCTAGGGACGACTCGTATCTCTCGATCTTCGCCCAGAACACTTCAAGTCGATGGCGACAGTCCGCGGCGACGAACTTGATTGTGTCAAGAAGTGCTGAGGGGGCTGTGCTGCTATCGAGCTGGTCTAGACCATCTAGGGCAGTCTTGAGCGCCTCAAGCTCCTTGGTGAGTTCCTGGTATTCCGATTTTGCTCCACCAGCAGATCGCAGACTGTCAGTGATGTCCTTGATCAGTTTGCCGACGGCTATGACATCTCCGATACCGACACTGAAAGGCATGGCCGTGCGATATAAGTGACGCGAAGCGTGCCTATCCGGGTAGGTCGTGTAGGTAAGTGCAGTGGTCGTCGCAGTTCTATCTGTGAAGGGTTAGATACGTAGGTGGTAGATGAGTAGAGCGTCGGACAACTTGCCTGATGTTAGGCACGAATTGCGAAACGGAGAAAGGAAAGATTAGGGGTATGCGACTGCTGCGCGGTCATAAACAAGCTTGGTGAGCGAAACCGCCAGCTTGGGGGGCTGTGCTACAGGTCAAGCATCCCGCCACCACTCCTAGCCTTGCTGCAGGCAGACCCATTGGGCACCAACAGCCTACATCACGAAAATAGAGATGGCGAAGCGTCAATGAAGACGGCTGGTTTGCGACTGAAATGTGCACTTAGCGACGTCGACAACAAAGGCGCGAGGAAAGCGCAGGCGTGCTGAAGTGAAAAGTGCAGGTGCGCCACGTGGTAAGACTGGAAGTCACAACTATTTGTCCGCTCTCGAAATTGATGCCTGTGAGAAAGACAATGTACACCTATTGATATGTCATACTGTGTAGGTCACATGCGATACCAAGTCTGTCATCCTCCGGCGTCGACATTTTTACCAGCAACATGCGAATGAATACTGGACACATGAGCCCCGCGTCGATCAAGGCATTTGCGAAGCTCACGTCCGACCTCCATACAACGCGATGACTTATTCTCTGAGTTTTGCTCAAGCTCAAGTTGAAACGTCGCAAAGAATTTACCGTCTACCATACCTCCTATAGAGACACGAGGACAGGATATAACACCGTCTATCTTAGCGATCTCTTCCAAAATAGGGTTGTAGACTGGGCCAGAGTCTCTCAAAGAATCGAATCGGACGTTCCTTCGCATAGTTCGTTCCATAACAGTGTAACAGACTGCATTAGAAGGACGGTTGTGGGCAAGCGGAAGTAGTATAAGAGGCTGGAAAAAGTTTTCGCCATTGCTGGGGACGTTTTTGATGTTTGATGACAATTCGCTAGCCTGATAGAGCTCTACATCAAGGTTGGAGCTGTATGAACCGCGTCAGTAAAGTTTCACGGATGGACTGGGAACGTACTTACCATCCAAACCCCGCTCCGGGACACGGGATAACCTCTGCCGTTTCGCAACGAGATATGGGCCATGCTGCCTCCTTAATGATCGAGCTGCTCACGATTATGAACATCGTGATGGCAGTCCCAGGTTGGAGACGTGAAGACTCGGTAATGATATTCAGACGGTTTTGTTTCATACACAGTTCGTAATTCCCTGCCTTCACCTCCATAGAACCCCCACCAATCTTGAACCGGTGGCGAATAACGGTATCAATTAGGTCGTAATCGTACTCTGTAGGGATGGGAAATTTGACTCCAAAGGCATCTTCTACTTCCAAAGGAGTCTGGAAGAAGGTCCAACGCGTGTCTACTGATATGGCGTTCCGGATATCGAGCAAAACCTCGTAAATCTGCTGCGTTGAAGTACTGAACCGGTCAGTCAGCTCAGGCTCAAACCATACTATATTCATGGTACGTACAAGGTACTGCTGATGAGCTGGAGGAGACGAATCAAATACGATTTGATGTCACCAATGACGAACTGATGTATGTCTTGCACTAACGTTTGTACATGATTCAGCTTGACTGCCTGGCTAAGATTTTCTTTTTTGATGTGCTCAAGAGCGGTCTGGGTTTGATAGAGCTGCTCAGAGGTATGCGAAAAGTCGATCTCGGTTGTTGCACGTAGAACATCCAGGCGCTCGAGACTGTGTTGGGCCAGATGTAGGCTGATAATACTGTGGCAGATATGAATGTCTTGTCGGAGCTGTTTGATTTGGTCTTTCTGGCCAAAATGCCAACCAAGCTTATCTGACGTAGTCCTCAAAGTAGATGCGTGTCTTGTGGATCCCATAGATCTTTCATACTTCTGTATCCTTGACAGGAATCCTTCGAGTCGTAGCCTGCAAGTCGTAGCAGCAGTCTTGATCGGGCTGATATGAGCAAATGTATTCATTTCGTTATCGATGTGGCCAAGGTAGTATAGTGATGTATCGAGTGCTTTGAGATCTCTGACCAGTTCCTGGTACTCCGATTCAGCCCCATCCACAGACCGTAGGCAGCTGATGGTTTCTTTTATCAGTTTTCCAATAGTGATGAAGTCCCCGACAGCAAATCCGAACGACATGGTGAATTTTGGTGGTGGAGGTGAATTCTGTTCATTTCGGGTTGTAACCATACATGGCGCTGCGTAATTTGTCAACCCAAAGACAGTTTGATGCTGCCGTCGAGCTGCGCAATCCGGGTTGAGTGAATCGAGAAAGGAAGCGAGTAAGGGATTAGAGCACTCAGAGATGGTAGATGGGAAGTGATGGTAAATGCGAGATGATAAGTGCGGGTGCCAACGATGCAAGAGGTATATAATTATCCATCCTTGTATCACACTCCTCGGCGTTCTATAGTGGTCGAATGAGATTGGCGGAGAGGGTCATACATGCAATCCACCTGCAGCTAAGGAAGGCGCAAGCTTACATGGAACTGCAGCTTAGCGGCGGCGCGACCCCTTCCAGCCTCGCCATTCGACTACCTGTTCGACCGTCAGCGTCATATTTAGTATTGAGTAACACTGAACAGCTCAGAACGGAAGAAGGGTTACGAAGCACTCTGTGGACCCCAGAACGGAAGACAATGAGACTGTGGCTTAGAGCCCCGCGATTGGCTGCTTTGATGATGACCCATTCCAAGTGTTCGCAGTATCCAGGAAGGTTATCAGTACGTGTGGCAATCAATTGGTGGTTTCCTGCTCCGTCCCGATACATATGGTACATGCATATATACACAGCGCAAGATCATTCTCAAACCTTGATCGCGTACCGCCTGGGCTTGTCGCTTTCGACGGTCTTCCCTGTCCTCTCCTTTGCCCACAGCCTTAATCTTGACATGCGCTTTAGATTTGACGCCTCCCGCTTCCTCAGTATCTCCGACTCCTGCTCCTCTGGCGTAAGCTCCATAGCCGCTGCCTTCTTCTTCTGTATCTCGCGATTCGGCTTGGAAACGTTCTTGTGTAGTAACTTCTCCACTTGCTCTCGAAGCGTCCTGGCTGCTTCCCGCGTGTCGTTTTGGTCAATTGCCCCGCCCATCTTCACAGAATCCCGAATCTCCCTTTCCCTGTCTTTCCTGCCCCATGGTTCGAGGTCGGGTGTCTCAGGCCAGACGAATGGCTGCTCCAACTCTACTGTCATGTATTTCTTCGACTCCTCGCGGAACCAATGCCGTGGTTGTTCGCGCGTATCGCGCACCGGCATTTGCTTGACGTACGAGCGGATGTTGAAGCATTTGACGTTGTACGCGTGGTAGAGGTAGTCGCGGAGGTCGTATTTGGAGAAGTCTAGCGGGACCTGGAAGCGGGCATGGTATGGGGAGAGTTGGGGCGTGCGAAGGAACGCAACTGTGAATTTGGGGCTGGATCATGTCAGCCTTGATCGTAAATGAGACATCGCCGTGACCTACAGGTATATCTTGTTGCTGCCGAAGGCTATCAGCTTTTTTGTGATGGGCACGGCGTCCATGGTGGCGGGGCGATGAGGTCCAGACTCTCCAATTGCCAGCGGTCGCAAAGATTCGTACGTTCGATGAGGCGTACTATAGCGCTTTCCAGGAGTGCAAAGCGCGACGATGCGCTATATTGACTTGTAATGGCTTTCGCGATGCTCAGAAAATGGATCGGGAGTCGCTCCGCAAACGCCGATGTCCGCCAAGCCTTTCTCAACTTCGGTAGCCTTGCCCACGACTTCTTCCATCGCTCCTGCTCGATACTCTGTTAGGAGTATTCTTTTGTCTGTCGCTTTACTTGAACACATGACTTTCGAATTCAGATGGATGGATTGCGGGATCTTTCATGTGCTGCTAAGCCTACCTCGTCACTTATGTTTGCCAGCCAACAGCTCTGCGCGATGCGATTCAACTACCTAAACATCAAAGGCCCATCTGCTTAGGTATTATCGCCCGAAGCCTCTCTGTCGTGGGTACGCCTTCCTGGACTGCATGTGTGACTTTGGTGACGTGCTCAACCCCTTGTAGCAGGAGAAAGCTCTCCCTCCTCCATAACAGGCCACCTTAGACGACAGTGTCTCCAAGTAGTAGACCTTCCCCCTCACTCATACCAAGAGGATGCTTCTCTCATTCTGTCGTAGATCTCCCTCGTCTCATTCTTCCTCGTTTCATGTTCAGCTTCTACAACCTCTCCATTAGTACAATAACTTCTTCATCAACCAAGCTTCTCGCATTATTACACGCGATTTCCTTGGTGATACAGACATAGAGTGCGCCTTTAAGCTTGCTCTACCATTGCGTTGCGTTCGAGCTCTTCTTACATCAGAGAGGAGGTGCAGTACAACAGCCTGGAGGCCTCGCTGGCACTCTGATCCAAGAACATACTACAAAGCTCTCTGGGTATAGATCAACCGTACTCACACATTTCCCTAACCTGCACCTTGAACACAAAATGAGACGGGGTAGGCGCGCTTTGAGGCTGTATACGCATGCGCACTAGCGCCACCGCGCGTTTGCTCTTTCCAATTCAGTCACCTCGACCTAACTCCGCAGCGACGAACACCACAACACTGCCAATCCTCTCGCCCCGACGCCGCTACTTTGACACTGCTTCTAGTTCTCCACACAACAAAGAAGCCGCAGCGATGGACGGACAGGACACTGGCGCTCTGCCAAAGCCCAAGCCCAAGCCAAAAAGGTTCATTCCGGTGCCCCCGGAGTACCGTCGCCTCACTCATACTACAGAACGCGAGCTTATCGTCAACGAGATCAAGATCAACACTGGCTGCGATGTCATTCCCAAATGGGACGCTGGGTATATCACTCAGTTCGCCATTGCTGGACAAGGTGCAGGCCTTGAGAAAGCCGTCCGATACATTAACCACTGGATCTCTAACGCGCATATCAAGTCAAAAGACTCATCATCATGGGCGAAGACGCCTGCATTCGATCATAACAAATGGTACTACGACAGCATTGAAGAGCGGGAGCGTCAGCGGAAGGACGGGTTCAAGGGCAAGGCGCCTGAGGTACCAAAAGGCGAGATGCCACTGGCGAGCATCATCGTGTGCTGGCCGGAGGACCTCCTCAACGAAGGCGTCACTCCTCGCGATGTCTTCGATAACAAGCTAGAAGCGCTCAACGCCATTCGGACTCAGAACGAGGTGTACATAACGCTCCTTCCTACTCAGAACGACGTTTGGCAGATTGAGATACAAGGCAAGTCAATCATATATCTACTACATGCGATAAACACTAACGTTTACAGCCCGCGACATAGCGCGCATCGAAGCGGCCGAAGCGCATCTCATGACGATGATCGACAAAGTCAAAGCTGATGCTATGGGACTGCAGCATGTAATCAACATGATTCTTGATGACAAAGAGGGCTTGGAGGTTGTGCTGGAGGAGGCTGACGCGTGGTGGCCGAACCTGTACGTGAATTGCAATCGTGAACTGCAGACGAGTGCTGACCTCTTTCGCTCAACATCAGTCAAGACCGAGTCGTACCTCGCCTCCTCTCCAGTGGGATAATGGAAACCTCCGGCAGCTTCCGCGGTGAGATCATGCACTTCACGCAGCTCTCAAGGATCCAGCATTCATTTCAACTGGCCCTTGAAGCTGTACGCCACACGAAAGGCGCGTACGACATGGCTATTCGGTTAGGGTGCCTGGCTCTGAGCTCAAGACATATCAAGGAGGATAAGATTGGCCAGAAATTCGGGAAGGAGGTCTTCTTGAAGTCGATTAACGGACCGGTTACACTTGAGATAAAGAAGTGGTAAGTGTGCCCCCTCGTGATAGCTAGCATAATGGCTAACAACATAGGCTTGCTGATGATGCACTGGGTTCGCAAATTCTGGGAGCACTCTGCACGGCCAATGAATTCCTGGAGCCGACGAAGTCTTCTGCCTACTTCGGTTCTACGCCAAAATCGCTGCAAGGCACTCGTCCAATGTTCCGAGGAACGTGGGTGTTCACAGACCCCAGCAGCGTTGTTGCTCCACCGCGTGAGCCGGTAGCTGTGCGCCATGCTGGACGTCCTAAAGCGCCTCCCCAAGTTCCTGCTAGTACAACCACTCCATCCGCAGCGCCGCAGTCCGAATTCATTGTTGTTCAGGTCGACTGGACTGATGACGAAGAGGGCTTGTACGAGAAGACAACAACCCGGTTCTACAAAACCGATCAGGGTCGTAAATCACCAAGGAAGAACATGGATATCAATCTGCTGGAGCTTGGAGAGAGCCGAGGATGGCACTTCGCCCTTGAGTCCTTGATTCCTGTGGCAGCGAAGAGCATCTCGCCTGTCATTACTGGCTTCGCCGATCGAGTCAAGATGAGACCCAACCACGATTATCGTTCCACCGAAAGCTTTGCTGAGTGGGACCAGACACCTACCGTCAAGAAGCACCTACGAAACGGCCGCCTGGAAACCATCTACTCCTTCGGCATTAAGCAGACCTGCTACAAGGTTGAGGCTACTTGTATGTGGTACCCAGGACAGAGACTTCCCGTCTGGGGTCTCTGTGTCCGCCACTCTGAATGGGCTACCCATCTCGCTGAGCTTGAGCGTCTCCCTGTGGGTCGGAAGGCCGACTGGGGTCACACTGTGGCTACCTTCCTGCCAGATGACGGACAGTCTTGCTACTCCAGCGCGGTCGAGGACGAGGACTTCGGAATGAGGAACCTCGATCTGGGCCCTGGCGTTGAAGCACCACCACGCGATGGTATCCGCATCCTCATGGACAAGCTGCTTCAGCTATCAGCCATCGTCAGTTCTGTCACAGACATGGGAGGCGTCGCTATCTAAAGGGCGGGAAAACTGAACACCATGGAGGCTACATTGACGTTAGGTCATCTACTTTGCGTGTTTTCATCTCGATGTAGGCTGCAGACCTGTTCAGTTTGTTCCTGGTATGAGGTGGTGATCTGAATGAGTGGTATGTGTAGGACTTCATTCTCATATAGCATGATGCCAATACCACAAGTATCTGGCTCTAGCCTTTTGCCAGGATCGCCCGTGTCCCCGATTATCTAGCTGTGCTTCTGTTCATGCCGCATGCGGCTTGTCCTACACTGGCTTTTGGTCTTCCGGTCTTCCGGCATGGTGTCTGCTCATTGCCTCGCAACTCTTCA